CTTGGGCCCCCGACGCCCCCATCCCTGATTCATTGTTTGCGCGCCTCAGCCTCTGTTGCGAGAAGTCAGGTATTCATTCGCAGCGCCTGGTTCTGGAGCGCGCGAATATTGCTTTTCATGTGTACAACGTACATTCGAAGGTGGGCCCAATCGAGAGGCCCCAGCCTACAGAAGATTTTGAGAGCGCCCGCTCTGCGAGAGCGACGCCCCTTACAACATACAACCCCGATGCGCACTGCGTTGTCGAACGCTGAGCCCGGCTGAACCACGAGGGATACGTCTATATATATATATACACATACTTATACATATATATATGTATATATATGCACGCGCACGTACGCTTGTAGGGCAAAGCAGACATGCGCCAGAACCTGCGCGCGCGAAACGCGCGGCGACCCCTCCAGCCCCAAGGCTTCCAGCACTTCCAAATCGCACACGCACCCTGGCCCTAAGCCTGAGGCCCCCTAAGTGAATCACGCTTCCCCTGGGCCGCTCGAAACAGTTCCAAGGGGCACGAATGAGCGACCAGAGCGGCCGAATTAGCGCGCCCGGGATCGGAGCTCAAATCAGATTGTCTTTAAATTGTGGGGCGCCAGACCCCCGGAAGGAAAACAAAAAAATATCCCAGTGCACCCCTACCTAGAAGTTGGAGCCCCTAGGAAAGCAGCATTAGTAGCAACAGTAAAGCCAAACTAAAGCTAAGCTAGAGCTAAGCTCAAGCTAAGCTGAAGTTAAGCTAAAGCTAAGCTAAGGCTAAGCTAAGGCTAAGCTAACACTAAGTTAAAGCGAAGCTGAAGCTAAGCTAAAGCTAAGCTGAAGCTAAAGCTAAGCTACATCTAAGCTAAAGCTAAGCTAAAGTTAAGCTACACCTAAGCTAAAACTCAGCTAAAGCTAAGCTGAAGCTAAGCGAAAGCTAAGCTAAAGCTAAGCTAAGGCTAAGCTAAGGCTAAGCTGCAGCTAAGCTAAAGCTAAGTTAAAGCTAAGCTGAAGCTAAAGGTAAGCTAAAGCTAAAGCTAAGCTAAAGCTAAGCTACTGCTAAGCTAAAGCTAAGCTACAGTTAAGCTAAAGCTAAGCTAAAGCTAAGCTAACAGTAAGCTAAATCTAAGCTAACACTAAGCTGAAGCTAAGCTGAAGCTAAGCTGGAGCTAAGCTAAAGCTAAGCTAACACTTTGCTGAGGCTAAGCTAAAGCTAATCTAAAGCTAAGCTAAAGCTAAGCTAAAGCTAGGCTAAAGCTAAGCTAACACTAAGCTAGCACTAAGCTAAAGCGAAGCTGAAGCTAAGCTAAAGCTAAACTAAAGCTAAGCTAAAGCTAAGGTAAAGCTAAGCTAAAGCTAAGCTAAAGCTAAGCTAAAGCTGAAGCTGAAGCTGAAGCTGAAGCTGAAGCTGAAGCTGAAGCTAAGCTGAAGCTACGCTAAAGCTAAGCTAAAGCTAAGCTAAAGCTAAGCTAAAGCTAAGCTGAAGCTATGCTGAAGCTAAGCTAAAGCTAAGCTAAAGCTAAGCTGAAGCTAAGCTAAAGCTAAGCTGAAGCTAAGCTAAAGCTACGCTAACGCTAAGCTAAAGCTGAGCTAAAGCTGAGCTAAAGCTGAGCTAAAGCTAAGCTAAAGCTAAGCTGCAGCCAAGCTAAAGCTGAGCTACAGCTAAGCTAAAGCTTAGCTAAAGCTGAGCTAACACTAAGCTAAAGCTAAGCTAACACTAAGCAGAAGCTAAGCTAAAGCTTAGCTAAAGCTTAGCTAACACTAAGCTGAAGCTAAGCTGCAGCTAAGCTAAAGCTAAGCTAAAGCTAAGCTAAAGATAAGCTAACACTAAGCTAAAGCTAAGCTAAAGATAAAGCTAAAGCTAAGCTAAAGCTAAGCTAAAGCTAAGTTAAAGCTAAGCTGAAGCTAAAGGTAAGCTAAAGCTAAAGCTAAGCTAAAGCTAAGCTACTGCTAAGCTAAAGCTAAGCTACAGTTAAGCTAAAGCTAAGCTAAAGCTAAGCTAAAGCTAAGCTAACAGTAAGCTAAATCTAAGCTAACACTAAGCTGAAGCTAAGCTGGAGCTAAGCTAAAGCTAAGCTAACACTTTGCTGAGGCTAAGCTAAAGCTAATCTAAAGCTAAGCTAAAGCTAAGCTAAAGCTAGGCTAAAGCTAAGCTAACACTAAGCTAGCACTAAGCTAAAGCGAAGCTGAAGCTAAGCTAAAGCTAAACTAAAGCTAAGCTAAAGCTAAGGTAAAGCTAAAGCTAAGCTAAAGCTAAGCTAAAGCTGAAGCTGAAGCTGAAGCTGAAGCTGAAGCTGAAGCTGAAGCTAAGCTGAAGCTACGCTAAAGCTAAGCTAAAGCTAAGCTAAAGCTAAGCTAAAGCTAAGCTGAAGCTATGCTGAAGCTAAGCTAAAGCTAAGCTAAAGCTAAGCTGAAGCTAAGCTAAAGCTAAGCTGAAGCTAAAGGTAAGCTACGCTAACGTTAAGCTAAAGCTAAGCTAAAGCTGAGCTAAAGCTGAGCTAAAGCTAAGCTAAAGCTAAGCTGCAGCCGAGCTAAAGCTGAGCTACAGCTAAGCTAAAGCTTAGCTAAAGCTGAGCTAACACTAAGCTAAAGCTAAGCTAACACTAAGCAGAAGCTAAGCTAAAGCTTAGCTAAAGCTTAGCTAACACTAAGCTGAAGCTAAGCTGCAGCTAAGCTAAAGCTAAGCTAAAGCTAAGCTAAAGATAAGCTAACACTAAGCTAAAGATAAAGCTAAAGCTAAGCTAAAGCTAAAGCTAAAGCTAAAGCTCCCAGGGGACTGGGGGAACCGCGGGGCGGGGACTGGGGGAATCGCCCGGGGCGATTAGCATTGCCCGGCCCCTTTAGCTAACAGAGTAAGAACCTTTCTAGGCAGAGCCTAGGTAGGGAAAACCACTTCGACTGTCTTGAAGCTGTCCTCTCCACTGCTCGTGCAAACATCCCACCCTCCCACTCGCAACTTGGTCGCAAGACATCTTCAGACAAGACCGTGACGGTAGGTACTGCGTGGCACTTGGCCACGACACCGATGCCGACGACGACAGCGACATCGACGACGACGGCGCCGCCGACAGCGATTGCGACGACACCGACGACGTCTCCAATGTTTTCGACGACGACAACGACGACGACGACACCGACGACGACGACAACGACGCCGACGACGACGACGAAGACGACGACGACGTCGCCAACGGAGACGACGACGAAGGAGGAGAAAAAACGACAACGGCGACAACGACGACAACGACGATGGAGGAGGGAAGACGGCGACGACGCCAACGACGAAGAAGGAGGAAGGACGGCGACGCCGACGACGACAACGACGAGGGAGGAGGGAAGACGACGACGATGACAACGACGACGAAGACGACGACGACGGCGACGAAATAGGAGGGACGACGACGAGACGCCGACGACGGACGACGACGACGAGGGAGGAGGATAACGACGAGGGAGGAGTGAAGACCACGACGACGACGACGACGACGACGACGACGACGGCGACGAAATAGGAGGGACAACGACGAGACGCCGACGAAGACAACGAGGGAGGAAGGACGACCACGGCGACAACGACGACGGAAACGACGACGACGCCAAAGACGACGAGGAAAGACAGAAGACGACGACGGCGACGACGACGACGACGACGAGGGAGGAGGGAGGACGACGACGACGACGACGACGCAAGAGCGCGCGCGCACAATTTTGTTGAAAACCCGTGTTGCGAAACCTTGTGTTTTTGTAGGTTTTTTGGACGCACGATTTCGAAATTCTTCCGAAACCAAGGTTTTTGAAGGATTTCGGCATACGCCCGCGACGACGCGCGCGTCTGCACTTCGTCCCATTTTTTGCAGAGGATTCGCGCGACGGCACACGCGCAAGAGCGTTCGACAGATTTCGACATGCGCGCGCGCGAAGCCCGTTTGGTAGCATTTTGTGAAAATCTTTGAAAACCCATGGTTTTCTTAAGATTTCGCAAGAGCTCGCGCGTAATTGTTTTTTTTTTTGAATGAGTGTTGCAAAACTATGTGTTTTTATATGTTTTTTGGAAATTCAATTTTGAAATCTCTCCGGAACCGAAGGTTTTTGAAGGATTTCGGCATGCGCGCGCCACGACGCGCGCGTGTGCACTTCGTCCATTTTTTTGCAAGGGATTCGTGACAAGTGCTATGTTAGAACAAAACACATGTCACCGCATAGTGTTTTTTACAAGGGAACCGCAGGGGGGGGGGAACCCGGCTTGGCTGGGATGGTATGAATTCATATTTCGGATGGACATGTGGTCACAATCATATATAATTTACAGCACGCGCGGGGGACCCGATAAGTCCGGGGGGGGTAGAATCTATTAGTCTTTTAGAAAGGAGAATAAACGGAGGTTGTTTTTTTTATTGGTTTCCCCCCCTCAGGGAAAACCTTCGACACCTCCCCGGGGGACAAAAAAAAAACGAGTTGGGTTTTTTGTTAGGGGGCTTCCCCCCCGGGGGAACCTTTGAAGACTCCCAGGAAAAAATCAAACACCTACTTGGGGGGGGTCCCAGATTTGGGAAAACACCCGAACATTTTCTTCGGGAGTTCCCCCCCCGGAGAAAAAACAACATAAAAACGATAGAACAAAATTATGAGTTTTGGGGGGTCCCGAGGGGGGGGCCGAATTGCGATGTGAAGGGGTTTGCACGATCGTCCACGGGAATTCCCAAAACAAAATCAAAAAATTCCCCAATGGGTTGTGTGTTTCTTGTGTTTTCCTACGTTTGTCGTTGGTTTCAGGTTTTCTTTTCGTTTTTTCTGTAATAATATTGTTTTTTAGTGTCAGGCCCTGGACCCCAGAACCCAACTCGTGGGTTGTTCGGGGATTTCCCTGGGGGGTCCAGGGAACTCCCACACCGGTTTTGATGATTGAGTTCGAGGCTGGGAGAGGGCACCTGGGCAATTGATGAACGGCAGAGTGGAGTGGAGTGGCACGCGACCTTAGGGACAGGAGGAAGAGGCGCTGTGTATATAAAAGCGTCTTGAAGCATGTCCACGACGGAACTTGCGTCGGAACTGGTACGACGGCTCGAGGACAAGGCGCGAGGCCTGTCGACACCTCTCCACCCGGACCAGACGAACAACATCCAGGTCAGCAGTCTCATCCCGACCCTCTGTTAGCGCTGACCCCACCAGCAAAGTCGTATCGAGTATATGTTGTGGAGGATGTTAGGGGAAGCAGACATTTGGCGGCCCTAGTTTTCGCTTGAGTATTTCTGACATGGCCTTCAACCTTTTTCCTGGGACCTGAGTTTCCTGCCGAGTAGTTACAAGCCATCCTGTGGTGTCGGGTCCTCGTTTTGAAGAGACAGCGCCCTGCGTCCCACCTCCTCTTCCTCCCGCTGCCCCCCTCCCTCCTCCCAGCCCTGCCTCTGCCCTCCGCATGTCAATCACTTCGGTACACCCCTCACATGTTTCGTGGTCCACTAGGGAGCTTCACCGAAGGCCCCAGTGGCGGCGCCCGCAAGGCACCGCCGCACCCATTTCGCCACACCCCTCAGACGTTTCGTGGCCCCATCCATAGGGCGCCCCACCAAAGGCCCCAGTGGCAGCGCCCTCATGGCACAGCCGCGCTCCTTTCGGTACACCCCTCACACGCTTCGTGGTTCCGTAGGGAGCTCCACCAAAGGCCCCAATGGCAGTGGCCGCATGGCACTGCCGTGCCCATGTCGCCACACCCCATCACGCGCTTCGTGGCTCCATAAGGAGCTCCACCTCAGGCGCCAGTGGCAGCGCCCGCAAGGCACCGCCGCACCCGTTTCTACGCAGCCCTCACATTCCTCGGCCCCACAGGAAGTTCCACCGAAGGCCCCAGTGGCGGCGCCCGCATGGCACCGCAGCACCCATGTCGGCACACCCCTCACACGCTTCGCGGCCCAAGAGGGAGCTCCACCGAAGGCCCCAGTGGCAGCGCCTGCATGGTACCGCCGCACACATTCCTGCACGCCCATCACACGTTACGGGCCGAGGTATGACCAATTTTTCGAGTCGCCAGATGTCTGAGAAAACCAGCGGCCCAACGGCACATTTTCCGAGACGACTTCGCAGGGGTGTCAGCAATGTTGGGTGTCAGGATGAGCCCGCCGGTCCAAGGAGTTGTTGGCGCAGGCGGGTGCCTTGGTGCTCGTACCGCTGTCAGACCGGCCATACGACAGACCGCGGGAGCCTCAGGCTTTGGTTTTCGAGGATGCCCTCGGTGCTCCCGCTCCCGCGGAGACGCCGAGGCCGCCGGGCAGCGCAGGGCTAGGGTCGCCCCTGCTCCCACTTCCCGCTCCGCCGGGTCGGTCAACGAGCAGGGTATTTGGAGACTCCGCTGTCGTCCGTGGAGGGCAGGCAGCGGGCGCCGCTGCGGCAGTCACAGTCCAGCTCGCGGAGGCGCGGAGGGAGGCTGAAGCACTGCGTGAACGGCTTGCCGTGATGCAGGGAGGCGGCACAGGGAAAGTCGTCCTGGCAAAGAGCGAGAATGCGGAGACGAAGTCTCTGCGGGCGTCGTCTGAGGAGCAGAGGGACAATATTGTTTTCGCAGCTGATGGATCCGTTCCCGCTGGCACCAGACACCAGCTCGAGGGAGGCCATGCGAGCCCCGTTCGAAGGACATCTCGTCAGCGACGTGCAGACCTTAGTTCGGAGGTGAGAGGGTGAGATCGAAGTGGAACGGAGAGCCCCCCTACCGGGAAATCGGTTTCGGTTTTGTGTTCGTGCGTGTTGTGCGTGCGGGCGAGGCGAAGCTGCGTGTGGGCGGGGGAGAAGAAAGTCTCCTCCGGCTGAGGCGCGGCCGGACCAAATGATTCCTGTCCGGGGGCCGGTGGCGCGCGGTGTCCCGCCGGTGTCCCGCCTCTGGCTGAGGCGCGGCCGGACCGAATGATTCCTGACCGGGGGCCGGTGGCGCGCGGTGTCCCGCTGGTGTCTCGCCTCCGGCTGAGGCGTGGCCGGACCAAATGATTTTTGACTGGGGGCCGGTAGCGCGCGGTGTCCCGCTGGTGTCCCGCCGGTGTCCCGTCGGTGTCCCGATGATGATGATGATGATGATGATGATGATGATGATGATGATGATGATGATGATGATGATGATGATGATGATGGTGATGGTGATGGTGATGGTGATGGTGATGGTGATGGTGATGGTGATGGTGATGGTGATGGTGATGGTGACGATGATGATGATGATGATGATGATGACCATGTCGATGATGTTGATGATGATGATGATGGTGATGGTGGTGATGATGACAGTGTCCCGATGACGATGATGATGATGATGATGATGGTGGTGGTGATGATGATGATGATGATGATGATGACGATGTTGTTGATGATAATGATGGTGGTGGTGATGATGATGATGGTGTCCCGATGATGATGATGCTGATGATGATGATGGTGATGATGATGCTGCTGATGATGATGGAGATGGTGTCCCGATGATGATGATGATGATGATGATGATGATGATGATGATGATGATGATTATGATTATGTTGATGACCCTGATGATGATGATGATGATGATGAGATGGTGATGATGATGAAGATGATGATGATGGTGTCCCGATGATGATGTTGACGATGTTGTTGATGATGATGCTGTTGATGATGATGGTGATGATGATGGTGCCCCGATGATGATGATCATGATGTTGATGCTGATGACGATGATGGTGCCCCGATGATGATGATGTTGATGATGAGGATGATGATGAGGTGATGATGATTTTGATGATGGTGGCCCGATGATGGTGATGCTGATGATGATGATGATGCTGATGTTGATGGTGATGATGGTGCCCCGATGATGATGGTGATGATGATGATGACGATGATGATGATGGTGCCCCGATGATTATGATGATGTTGATGATGATGGTGATGTTGCTGATGATGATGGTGTCCCGATGATGATGCTGTGCATATGATGATGATGTGGATGATGATGATGACGATGATGATTTTGATGATGGTGTCCCGTTGATGATGGTGTTGATGATGATGTTGTTGATGATTATGGTGATGAGGTGATGATGATAATGGTGCCCCGATGATGATGATGATGATGGTGATGATGATGATGATGATGATGATGACGCTCATGACGGTGATGTTGTTGATGGTGATGCTGATGATGATGATGATGATGATGATGATGATGACGTTGACTGTGAGATCGATTGTGATATCGATAGTGAGATCGATTATGAGACCGAATATGAGATCGATTGTGAGATCGATAGTGAGATCGATAGTGAGATCGATTGTGAGATCGATTGTGAGATCGATCGAAAGAAATATATCGAGTGACATCGATTTTAATATCGATCGACTGAGATCGATCGAGCGAGACCGATAGTGAGATCGATAGTGAGATCGATAGAGACCGATCGAGTGAGACGTTGGTTCCTCCCACCCGAGCCTCCTTATCACCCGAAGGGTGGTCGTATAGTTTTCCAGAACGAGTGCATATGAAGTGTCGGTGGAGCGCGATTTTGCTGAAGACACTGTCGGACGGAGAGCTTCGCCAGAGGACACTGGAACAGACTGCAAGCATAGCAGCAAGTTGCACATCAATGTGAGCTCAGCGGGGTCAGAGCATGCTTCTGAACCGAAAGAGGTTTCAACAGAGATGGACAGGATCTTACAGCAATATCAGAGTGAGGGGGCCGAACGGTCATTCACTGTCCCTGGGTGCGTGGCTGAAGTGGAATTCCGCGGTGCGGATTCTCGTTGTTGTTGTTGTTGTTGAACTCTAATTACTGAAGAATAATTATTGTTGATCCCCCCCCTCCGGCGGACATTGTATTTTTCAATTGAAGTGCCCCTTCCAGGGCTCGCACCCTGTTTTTTATCAGGGAAAATCGTGGGCATCAAACTGCGTTGCTGGCCCCCCGGACAACAACAACGGCTCCCGCCTGATACTTTCTCCAAATTTACTCAGGACCCCCGCCCCCGCCTGGGACTTCCTCGCAGTTTACTCAGGCGGAGGCGCTCCCGCATGAGACTTCCTCGCAAATTACTCCGGACCCCCGCCCCCGCCTGGGACTTCCCTCCTCCCTCGTCCCTCCCTGCTCCCTTCCCTCCTCCCTCGTCCCTCCGCCCGCCCTTCCAAAGAGAAATAATCCCCCTAAAGGGGGTACGTTCGAATACTAAGAGGGCGGGTATCGAGGGTGTGCCTCGTGATTCATTCAGGATTCACCCTTTAGTCACCCGCCCGCCAGGTTTCGCCCGCCCGATCCGCCTGTTACAGCCCGCCCGTTCGCTCTCTTGGCATCTCGCCCGCCCGCTTTAAGCCACCGCCCGCCCGACCCGCCAGCGAGGGTCCGCCGCCCGACCCGTCCGTTGGCGTCCGCCCGCCCCGCCAGCCCGACCCGCCCCTCAGAGTCCGCCGCTCGACCCGTCTGTCTGGTTCGTCCGTTTGTTTACCTCCTCTTTTGCCCCCCTCCCCTCCTGCTAACCTCTTTCGTCCTCCATCCATCCTCCCCCCCTTGCCCCTTCCCTCCTCCCTCCCTCCCCCCACTCTTTTCCTCCTCGCTCTCCCTTCCTCCTTCCCCCTGCTCTTCCTGTTTTAGGGGCTGCGCCAACTACACGTGGCGAGTAAAAAAGATATACCCCCAAAGGGGTATGACCGAAGACGAAGAGGGTGGGTATCGAGGGTTTGGGATTTACATATTGAGTGACGCGCGCGCATATAAGAGCGATCAGTCTTAAGATGATTGTTGTTGTTGTTGTGGTGTTGTTGTTGTTGTTGTTGGTTGTTGTTGTTGTTGTTGTTGTTGTTGTTGTTGTTGTTGTTGTTGTTGTTGTTGTTGTTGTTGTTGTTGTTGTTGTTGTTGTTGTTGTTGTTGTTGTTGTTGTTGTTGTTGTTTGTTGTTTGTTGTCGTCGTCCCACCCGCAACCCGCCCCGCGACCCACCCGCGACCCACCCCGCGACCCACCCCGCGACCCACCCGCGACCCACCCGCGACCCACCCGCGACCCACCCCGCGACCCACCCCGCGACCCCCCGCGACCCACCCCGCGACCCACCCCGCGACCCACCCCGCGACCCGCCCGCGGCCCACCCCGCGACCCACCCGCGACCCACCCGCGACCCACCCGCGACCCACCCGCGACCCACCCGCGACCTACCCCGCGACCCACCCGCCACCCACCCGCGACCCAAACCACGTTCAAGGTACAAACCACCATTTTCAACGCCTGCGGCAGGTTTTTTTTGCATTCCTTCCAGGTGGAGAGCCCGCGACCCACCCCGTGACCAACTCGCGACCATACCGCGACCCAAACCACTTTCAGGGTACAAAAACTTTTTTTTCGGCGCCTGCGGCGGGCATCTTTTGCATTCGTTTCAGGTTGAGAGCCCGCGGCCCACCCGCGACCACGTTCAGGGTACAAACCACATTTTTCTGCGCCTGCGGCGGGCATCTTTTGCATTCGTTCCCAGTGGAGAACCCGCGCCCCACCCGCGACCCAAACCACGTTCAATGTACAAGCCAATGTTATTGGCGCCTGCGGCGGGCTGCTTTTGCATTCCTTCCAGGTGGAGGTGGAGAGCCCGCGACCCACCCGCGACCTAAACCACGTTCACTGAACAAACCAATGCCGCACAAGCGCGGCGGCGGATTTTTGCATGCCGTCTGAGCCCGCAAGGACCTCTTCAAGCCCCGCGCATCCACACCAGCCCGTCCAGCAACTTTGCCCTGGCGAGTTGCCTTGATCAGAGAAGGCGGGGAGCATAAAGTGGAAAAAAGGATTGCGTTGCAGTTATCTTGGGAAAGGAGGGGGAGGCAGGAGGAGTAAACAGGGGACGAGGAGAACGCGGAAGAAGAGAGGATGTAAGGAGAATGTGGAGAAAGAAAAGGAGGAGGAGCAGGAGGACGAGGAGGGGGAGGAGGGGGAGGAGGGGGAGGAGGAGGACGAGGAGGGGGAGGAGGGGGAGGATGATGATGATGGACGACAATGGGAGGACGATGATGGAGGCCGATGAGGGGGAGGACGACAATGGGAGGACGATGATGAAAGGACGAGGGGGGGAGAGGGAGGACGAGGAAGAAGAGGAGGAGGAGGAGGAGGACGAGGTGGAGGAGGAGGATGACGATGACGATGAGGACGAGGAGGAGGGAGGAGGAGGAGGAGGAGGAGGAGGAGGAGGAGAGCGCCATCGACAGGGAAGGTGGGGGCCACGAGGTCCGCCGGCTCGACGACGCCCGCGTCGCCCGCGCCCGCCCCCTCACTCTTATCCGCAATTGCGGGGTGCTACGTTAGTCCTGGAAGTCATGAAGACTCTGATCCTGAAGCAAGCAGTACACACCATGACCCCAGACAGTGCTTCCACATCGATGAACGTAGCAGCCTCCGCGCAACCCTGGCCGCCGCCGCGCAACTCTGCGTGCAACCACCGTGCAGGCGCATTGTGCAACCCGCCGCGCACCGCGCAACCAACTGCGCACTCGTTTACATGGGGTTCCGCGTCATCGCCTCACACATACACGGGTTCTACACACAAGCTTCGCATGCCTAAGGTTCCGCACGCGCAGGATCCACGCATATGGCTTGACAACTATCCCTCCACATTTAGAGGGGAAGCGCCCAACGCGCATAGGACGCATTGACACACGACTC